GTTTAATTGCTATTTTAATTGGAGTTTTATTGAGGATGTGATGCTGTGCTTTTTAATTTTCATTGAACCGTCCTGAGACTTTTTGTAATAGGACAGGATAGAAAAGCTTTAAATAATAAATAAATATTTAGACTTAATATTTTTCTACTGTCTTTAAAAACCACTTTCCAAAACGTTATTATATATTCACATTCCCACCACATACAAAATATGTACCCACTCCACTCCGTTAGGTACCACATCCCATCATTTCCTTTGTCTTTTTCGTATCAAAACTGTGTTTATTAAGGAGGCACCTTTGGACTGGAGGTGCTAAGAAACCTTGGGCTAGAAGATGACCTCTAGACCAGAGCTATGATTGCTGCACTCTTCGGTAGAATAGTTACTGGATGCGTACCATAATTCAGTGAGATTCTGGTACCCTCTAGCGGTGTGAATCAGAATTGCTGGGCACAAGAAAGTTTCGCATTTCAAATACAAAGGTGCAGATTTAGCAGTCGTTAGCTGTGTTCAAGGAATCACTGGGAAACAAAGCCACGGTGTCCCCATGTGTACAAAGTTATGCAATGACGCTTATGATGTGTGGTTTGCTGTGTCAATGGAAGCTGGCAAGGTGGGTGGCAGGGGTGGCTTCAAAATCACCCCAAACCCAGCTGCGCATCTCACCAGATTCAGATGACGCACAGCAAGACTTGTGTTGCAAGGGCAGTTAAGCAAATCACATGGTACGTGCTCAGCACTTTCAGGAGCAGCAGGCCCTGTGGCTTCTTTTCCCCATGACTGTCCAAACTGGGTCCCCCTCTCTGCCTAAGGACCCCTGGGAAGGATCTGAGATTAAGGAAGAAAGCAAGATTAGAGCAATCCTCTTGTTCAAACTACAATTCCCAGACTTCAAGTGCTTCCAGATGGAGGGCTCCTAATGCTAGTCAGTACAGGGTTCCGCCCTGGCGTGCCAACCCAATCGCACATTACAAGGAAGTAAACACACACACACACACACACAGAGCAAAATAAAGGTCCCCTGCGCCTCACGCAGAGAGCCCCGATGAAACTTTTCATGTCATTTATATACCTTCCCACACAAAGGATGTCAGAAGCTCTACTTTGGTTGGCTATTTGCCACTGTACAGGTCTTCTAAGTATGCCTGTTCACAACTAAATTTGCTGAAGCTCCTACCTTTATCATTTAAAACTATGCTCAGCCTCCCTTATCACTTTGTAAATGTCCTAAACACCTGAAGGTTATGGCTGCCTAGGCCCATGCAGAAATCATCTTGTGTCTCCTTCACTACGTAATACTAACAACCAGAAAACAGTGTGCAGCAATTCCTCTGTGTTTGTGTGTGAATAGATTTTCTTTGGTAAGATAAAAGGCAGCAAAAGGCTTTTCAAAACACATATGTAGAATTTCTCCTTTCTATGCAACTGTTAAAAGACCCAGACTGTTAAATGGGATCATGCTAACAAGAAAATTAGCAACTATAATCTGGACAGGCTGCATCTGAAAAGCTTTGCTAGCATGAGGCAATGGATGTGAATGTTTAAATATAGCTGTCTTACACACCCTGGAAGCTAGAAGCACCATATCCATGCAACAGCACCCTGATGGCCCACCCACCCTGATGCCACCACCACTTGTTCTAGTGGTGTTGTGAGGCGACTGCAGGAGAAGGGGTGGACAGCCTTTTTCAGCAAGCAAGCCAGGTTGACTCTGGACGAACACATCAGGAGCCACATGCCAACAGTGGGCGGGCCTAATGGCCAAAGCGGGAGGGAACACCCCACAGTTGGCATGTGCCAGCTGGGAATCCAAAACATCCTAAGGCACTCTAGATGCTGTGTCAAGGGCCATAGGATCATTCTGCCTGACAAAACCTCTACTTTACAACACATTGGATAGTAGGCTTCTTCTTTAGGTATAAATAATATGCAGGGTCTACCAAAGCCTGGCAAAGTACATAAGATAAAGATAAAAATCCAGAATGCAGTGCTTGGGCCCATCTGGCTGGTCTTAACTGCAGTATCACAGCAGTCACAGGCCTGCCAAAAGAAGACAGGAAATGGCTCTATTGTTAAGAGAGCCCCATGTTTCCCCTCATCTGGAGAAGCTACATCCCTGTGCCAAGGAATTCAACCTCCAGGCAGTAAGAGCATTCTCCGCCCAGTCCCACCGATGCCATGGTGTCAGCTATTTTACTACTATCCTGTGAATGCATTCAGAGACACTCCATCCTTGGAGACTCAGAGGGCACAGACAAAACTGAAGGGGACACCTCTTGTGCCTGGCTGTTTTGTTCTCAAATCCATGCAGCAGATGAGAAAGGACAGGAAGTTATTTGTCTTCCATCCTTCAGAGAAGCTGGCTCTCCTTAGCATACCATTTCCTGATCTCTGCCCAGACAGCAGCGTACTATGATAATGTAGTATTGAACCAGAAAGTGGGACTAGGAGGATGTGGCAGGATGGGAAGGTTCAGCAAGAAAATCAGGGAGCGAAACATTTTAATATAGCAGTTGGACTTCTCCGTCCATGCTGGTGTTGCTAGAGCTGGAGTGAGGCCTTAGCTTGATGTTTAGACTAGTACCATGAACACAGGGATGGACGCAGCCACTGGAAAAACATTTAGAACAATTATGTGAGAAAGCTAGGCATTAAAATTCAAAGAGTGCAGCATTTTGAGGCTGAATTACATCGTGCTCTTCCCGTTTAAGAGCCAAGCTGCAAGGCACAATATGAACAAGCTGAGTGAACTGGAGGAAATGTTCCAGCAGAAGCCCATCTATATGGCTGGGCCTGCATATTTTCCTCAGGTGGCAGAACAATTCTGGGCCAAGATTGGACTAATATCCAATCAGTTAAAAACAACCTCAGTTAAATTGCACTTGTTTCTTCCCCAGCCGATCTTAATTTTCCTGCTTTCAGTTTTTCCAGTGTATTAAAATAATAAATAGTTAAATATCTGGAAGACATCTGGCATGTGCTGCTGTTCGCACATACAGGGAAGGCCACAGCACTCAAGAGGGGATCAATCTTGACTGATCAGTCCAGCTGCTCAGTGTGGAGCAGCCATGTTTCATGTGCCTATTTTTTTAATGGCCCCTTTATATGATGTTACCATCAAATTGCTGTCTTTTGCATCTTTTCCTCAATTCCCTGTTTTCTCTCAGACGGCAGAAAATCTGAATTTGTATGTGTGCTGAAAGATCAGAACAGGAGTTCAGTTTCTCTCAGGACTGGATCTTTAATAGTGCTAATCGTCCATCTTTCCCAGAAGGTATAATTTTGGTGTGCACAGTGATACATTAGGTAGGTGAACTTACGGCCATGCAGCATACCTTCTTGGTTACCTTTCCAGTCAGACCATTTTATCAACATTTTATTATTTATTAATTTATGTATTTCTTACTCAGGGTGGTTCCAGATGGCTGGTTCCTAATGCCACAAAAATCAAAAGGCACTGTGCATCTATGCAGTCTTTCCCACTTCAGTGGATTTTCTGTGATGTGGAAATATGATGGAGGGAGCAACAGGGAAACACAGGAGGGTTACAGATGGAAGGCTGGCCACCCCTTAAAATTCTCTGTTTGGGACAGGTTGACTGAATATCTGGGAACACCCTCCATTTTTACCAATAGTACTAAACCCCTTTTTTCAGGTATACATTTTAATGAACATTCATGAAGTAGTGCTTAAATAAAGAATTTTTAGTATTAATTAAGAATGATTTCAAAATATATCCAACTGCAATTTTAGCAAAGTGTTTGTCCTGATTTACCCAGCCCACTTTCTAACTTGTGTTTTTGCTTGCTTGCTTGCAAGTCTTCAACATAATCCGGCAATCAAGCTTAAATAAATAAGCCCGTTAGCACTGATTAAAGAACTGATTAAAATTTAAAAAATGATTGTGCTGGGACATTTGAAAAAGCACTTGGATGAATTCTCCTTCCCTGTTCACATGGTTATGGCACCAATGAGTGTGGTCCAAACAGAGTTGGATGTTCACATGGAAAATGCACAGTACTCTCAACAGAATGGAACACAAATTGTGACTTTCAGTGGAAGATCAATGACCAGCTAGTGTTAGGCGCTAGACTTATCCACTGCCTCCAATGGGTAGGACTCCTATTAGCATCCATATCCATGAAACCAGCTACATCCTCACAAGATCAGCTCCACACAACAAAAATGAAAATAAGAAGCTCCCTTTCACATAGTGATACTATGAATCCATCTAGCTTTGTGTTTTCTACACCAGCCATCCCCAGCTTAGTGCTTTCCAGAAGTTTCGGACTACAGTTCCCAGCATATCTGATCAGTGGCCAGGCTTCCTGGGGCTGATGGGCTGTGAAGTCTAAAACATCTGCAGAACATCAAGTTGGGAGGTGCTGATCTACCCAACTCAGCAGTGGCTCTCCGGGACGGATTCAAGCAAGCGTTTTTCCCCACCCTCCCTGGAGATCCAGGGGATTAAACCTGGGTCTTTCTGGCTGCAGAGCATAAATGCTGCCATGGAGCTACTGCCTTTCCAGGTACACCAACATCCTCCACGCCCAAATGCCTTTTACTTAGGCTGTCATTCCTGCAGAATGCATGCACCCAGGTAAACAGAAACACAGGGTGGCTTCTGACCATTCACAACCGCTTCTCCCACAGTTTTACTGAAACTGCTACAACTGTGGGTGTCCAGTGCCTATAGGGCAGCCTTTGCCCCCCTTTGCTCTGCCATTAAGCCATGGTGCCCAATAGGAAAGAGAAGCTGGGTCCAGTTAATGTGTAACTGGCTTTCACTTTTTTTGCATTCATCCTCCATTTTCTTGGGCACTTGCCATCCCCACAGTACACAGACCCAGGAAGAGAGAGGGAGAACACACAGCCTGGCGGTATTCCTCAGGTAAATGCTTCTCCCAGCCACAGGGGAAAGCGGGAACAGGTCGTGATCGGTTCAGACTGCAACAGCATTGCCTCTCGGTAGGACCTTCATGCAGCCGTGAGCACGTCTCTCCTGAGCCGGGGAAGCCAAGTTTGCTGTGAGAAGCTGGCTGTGTGCGCGTAGCGGCCTTGGGTGCGGTCCAGAGCCAGGAAGCACTCCTCGGGGTTTTAGACGAAGGTAAGCAATTAGGCACTTCTGCATTTTGTCCTGCGTAGAGCAGTGCGAGCAAATGAGGCTTTTCATGTCCGAACACTGCCTTCTGGCTTTGCGCCATGATCTGTATAAGCAGCAGACATGGGAATCGGTGCACAGGTCAGTCCCAAAAGCCTGGCTTTCCTCCTTATCAGAGCGCCTGCTCTAAAGCCAGCTTGTTACAGCCGATCCCCCGCCAAATGCAGCACTGTTTCCTACCTGCTTTGGTGAGACCTCCTTGTTGGTGTAGTGGAGGCTCTCGGGGCCAAAACTTTTTTGGATTAGCAAGGACTTTTTGACTAGCACTGCGGTATCTGCCACTTGCCACCGGCTTCCCTGTTCCCTCTAAACTTGCCTGCAGTCCTCACAGGGATGGGGGATTAGTTTTCCCAGCACCACGCATCGATTTGGTTCATGCGAGCAACTAGCTGCAGAGGGTTGTTATATGATCCAAATGCAGACTGTTTCTTACACAGGCAACAAGCCACAACTTGTTCTAGGGGGTCGTTCAACCCATAATGAGTTAGTGTCAGCAAACACCTGCACAGCAAAGTCATTTGTGGGCTGCGGAGTCAGTTGGCAAGCCAGCTGGGAAGAGCAGCAAACCGCCGGGTTGCACTTTGCAATCTTGTCTTTGCTACCACCAATAACAGTCCTTCCACCGATGCCCAAGTGGCACTGTGGAAGCGCTATCACCAGGTTGGCATTTATTGTGCAACTGCGTTTTTCATTTTTAAAATTTTAGTATTTCTTTTGTTGGTCTTTTGTAAGTGTGCTAATATGCACTTCGGGCTGTTAGATACGTGTAGTCTTGCCTTGCTGTGGCATGTGCAGTGCAGTAGGTAACAGACTGAGAAGGTGAGACTGCATATAGGTTACTAAATAGTAAAGGTGGAAAGTGGTGAAAATGAGTGCACAAAAAAGGGATGGCAATACATGTGCCCCCTTAGCTATGCCATCCTCTGGCTTGTAAGTGCTGATCTGAAATTTCTCACTGTCCTTTCCCTGAGTCTTCAGAAAGGGGAGTTATTTCCCACGTTTTTGGAGCATTTACTGCTGTGGTTAAGGGCGGTGGTGGGGGACTAGTTGTAAACAGCACTGGTGCTAGCACTCTATTTACTATATCTTCTTGTTTTTCTTTTAAACTTTCAGGAATATTTTTGCATTTTTGGACAGGGAAATAGACACAAATTTAATAGCCAGGAAGTAAGTGAAAGGGAAACTTCTGCCAATTTAAAGGCAGAGCAGTGAATTGACATCTTGTATTAATGGAGCTGTGCTGCAGGTGTGCAGATTTCCTTTCTGTTTACTTGCAAGCCATTAAAATTGTGTACATTTCTCCTCCTTCTACTTGTCAGCCATTAGGTCTATTATTTCTCAATCAAAAAAATCTGCATTTTTTCCTAACTGTCAGGGAACCACAGTAACTGCAGCAGTAGTTAATATTTAATATTCTTTGCTCTGGATTCTGAGACCTGATTTTCTGTTGAACAGTTTTCCATTTTGTTAATTTTTAAGAGATAAAAGAAACTAAACAAAGAAAAAGCAAAATGAAAAAGAAAGAAAAAGATACTAAGGGACCTCACACAAAAATTACATAAAGTGCTAAGTGTGGGAAATTACACAAAAAGTCAATAATTATTATTACTTCTATCAATTTTATCACTGCAATGTTGACTTCATTATACTTGGTTATTGCAAAAAAAAAGCACTTTGACATGGGTATCCAATTATAAATGATAATTCACCTTGTAACATATTCACAAACTCACTGCAATTAATAATTGATTTTCCTTTTTTCCCTAGATAAAACAATATCATAATTTAAAAGTTAAATTTGTAAAGCAGTTATATTAATTTGATCATCATATACATACTATTTAATAATAATACTCCCAATTGCTAAATAAAGGAAATATAATGGGCCTTCCATTTAACATAAAATTCTTTCACCAATTAACTGATTAGTAAATGTATCAACTGGTCATCCTTACATAAATTATATTTTTTCTCTGATTTGTTAAGTCAAATATGTATAGTAAGCTTTCCATTTATCATTAAATTCTTTGGTTGGGCAATTTTTTCCATCTTGTAGCTTCCTTCCAGCTGACTCTCCAAACTGATGCCTTGACTTGAACTTGAGTTCTGGTCTGCTCTGACTGGATTCTAACTGAACATGGATGCTGCAAAGACCATCCATCCATGCATGCACACACAGTATTTGCATGACAAAGACAACTGCAATCACAGTGCAAGGCACTACCCCTTCTTAATGACAGGGGTCTGAGAATCACCAGATTACACCTTTCTTAGGTCCATCATCCCCTTGAGTTACCAGGGGGCTGGTCTCCAAGATCCTCATGTAGCCAATTTATATCTTATACATCTCTCTCTCTTATTCTCTTTCTCTCTCTTGCAGCTACCTGAAACACCATGAAAGATGCCTGGTACACCTGGGCCATCAGCGTGTTTTGCACTTGGTCTGTGATATCAGGACATCCATGTAACATTGACAAACAGGTGAGCAAGAACTACACTGTGTATCATGTAGGATAATCTGAACCTTTGAGAAGGATTTTTTCCGGGAAATGCTGGCCAGTGTATTTGATGGATGTTGGCTCTCTGGGCAATCTATTGACCTGTATCAAACATAAATCGTAAGTTCTCTGTGTGAGGTACAATTGGACCTGGATGTCACATTTGGCAGCTATTTATTTAAGAAGTTTTATATCCCACTCTTCAGTTCTAAAAAGTATCCAAAGCACTTAGAAACAGGGAGAGTCAGAAGGGACTTCCTGGGCCATCTAGTCTGACCCCCATCTCCAGCCAGCTCTGCTCATGACATGCCTACCATGTGGATGTCCAGCCTATCCTTGAACACCCTCACTGATGGGGCTTCAACCACTTGCACAGCCAGACCTACCATTAGGCAGAGCGAGACAGCAATGGCCCCCACTTCCAGATGTTCCTTCTGAGCGCTTCCCAGATATCCTTCCAGTTTGGATCCAGATTTAAGCACACTGATGAATAGACCCATGGAAACCAGTGAGGCATGATTAAGCCTTTATAGTGGCCCTAAATCATCCTGCTGCTCTCACGTGTGATGGAGGATGTTGCTCCATTTCAGATGCCAATCCAGTTGACCAACAGCAAGGATACAGATCTGTCTTCTCCTTTACTTAAAGGCTGCAAAAGGTCTAAACATCCTCAGTCAAAAATAACTAAAATATGCACTGTTGTCCCAGGGATTGACTTATTTAAGGGCTTTGACCTTATAAAAAGCATCATCCAGTTTGGTGCCCTGTGCCCTAGCAATAAGCATGTTGTCTCAGAAAACAGTACCACTGAATTCAGTGTAATGTACTGTCCTTTGCATGGGATTGCAGCCTTACTCAATTTTACTGAGAGAGAGCACTTGATTATACCTTTCCAAACTGGATAAATAAAGGATTAAAATATTCAGCTCTAGAGCTGCTAAGCCGTTGTTGAACTGGCTTTAGACTGGGGAGAAGGACCCCTCAGAGCCAGGCATTCAGATCTTGACTGCTCCCTAAAGACCCGCACGGGCTACCCTTTACAACTGGCATGGCTCTTCAGAGGCACTGGCAGTGCCAACCACGGGTGGGTAGGAAAGTGGATGATATGATGGAGAGAGATGTGACGGGGGTCGGGAGGGAGATGCCCAGAGGGGTAAGTCTTGGTGGAGGGGGGTGTTCTGGGCTGGAAGACTTGGCAGAGCTGGGGGGTGCCAGTGGGAGAGCTTGACGCACCCCAAGTTCATCAGTATTTTCTTGCTCACTCTCTGAGGGCTCACCACTTACAAACAGTAAAATGCAAAAGCTGCCTAAAAGATGCCTAAAGCCTGTTTACTCAGTGAGAAAAACCCAGATTTCATTTTAAACCATTTTTATTGTTAGGTAAATGGAAGTGGTAATTTTTTTGGTGGGGGAGGGGAGTACTCCATGCTGTATAATTCTGCTGGGGAGAAATGTCCCCAAATCAAATGGAAAAATTAATTAAACAAATGAGGTGCTTCAGTTTCTTGACATTTCATGAATTGATTTTAATTCATTTTGCAGGGACGGGCTGCCTGCAGTGGAAAGAGCCTATTTCATCCTCCAAATTCTCTTCCCAGACGCATCACCAGCTTGGATCTGTCCTTTAATTCCCTGATGATGCCCAAACATGGACCCTTTCTGAGAAGCTTCCAGTCTCTGCACTCCCTGAACCTCTCCAGCAACAGCATTCCTAGCCTTTATCCTTCACTCTTTCATAACCTTGGTGCTCTCCACCTGTTGGATTTGAACAACTGTAGCATTTCCCACATCCACCCAAAGAGCTTCCTGGGATTGAAAAACCTTCATATATTACTCCTGAAGAACAATAAACTTCAGTCTCTTGATCTGTCCATGTTCCTAACCCCTGGGAGCCTTGTCCATCTGGACCTGAGAAACAACAGGCTTCCGCATACAGTTGAACTTGTTCAGTCAACTGTGCCAAGAATACAGCATGTCCAACTTCAGGGGAACCCAGGGGTGCAAACCCACAGCACTGTAACTCCTTTCAGGCAGATGCTACAACCAGGAGAAGGTGAGGCAATGAACAGGAAATGAGATGTGAAGTGAAGGGCATACAAAAACATGAAACCATCATAATTAGTGTAGAGCACAATAGGACATGTTTCTGGAACCAACATCAATTCGTTGAATGAATATAATTGCTAAATAGGTGACTTTCTTGCAGGAGCATGTAGAATGCGGTGGCCAACTCCAGGGGTTTTGGCCTACAACTTCCATCAGTCCTAGCAACCATAACCAAGGGTAAGAGATGAGAGTTGGAGAACAAAATGTCTAGAAGGCTACAAGTTGCCTACCGCAACACAGAATGAATGATTTACTGTGGGTGCTTCCAGACAGATAGCTCCTAGCATTACCAATCAAACAACGTTGTGCATTTAATTCTATTTTTTCTTCCGTAATGGTTTTTTCCTCTGGAAACAAAAGGGATGAAGCAGTGGGAGAACACAAGAAGGAAGATTGTGTTATCTGGGACTCTGTAAAATTCTGTGATGAGGGAGGTTGATTACAGAAGGAAAGTCTCCTCTGGAAGCACCCAGAGTCTAATTTTTCATTCAGTAAAGTCTGGTTACTACCGACAATTCAAACCATTGACATGTAAGTGATCTGTCAGCCTGCATGCACATTCTCATGGTAGCAGTTTCATGCCTAGCTTGGTGAAAATTCTCAGTTTCAAAGCATTAAATGAGATATTTGAGAAAAGAACAAAAAGTTTCATAATAGCAGGGGTTTTCCAGGTGTAGAAGAAAACCTGCTAACTTCAATTTTCATGAAAGCCACAGTAGATATAATCAGGTGTCTGAATGGCTGTAATCTTCACACACACACACACACACACACACACACACACACACACACACACATTCTCCCTTTTAAAAAACAACCTTTGGATCTGTGCAACAGCACCAGAGATGGCATACATTTACCTGATAGATGCAAAAATGGAGGAAAAATAGGGAAAAGTCCATTACATTGTGGGAGCATTACCCTCAGGGGGAGCAAATAGCCTTATGAAGGTCTCCAATGTTTTAGAGTAAATGTCACTGGTACAACTCGTGTGAAGAGTACAGTGGAGAACCAAGGACATAGCCTTTGACAATGATGATGATGATCAATAATATACCCCTGTAAAAAGATAACTATTATTGTTATTATTTCAAATAATAAATGCCCCGTATATTTTATAATACATAAATACATACATCAAGAAGATGCATTTGGTCACAGTGGTACCCGCTGGCACCATGCCAAAGTCCACAGTATTAGGAAGACTCAAATCAGGAGCTGGATGAAAACTTTTGTACCCATTTATTTATTTAACGCTTTTATATACCATCGCAATAGCCACATGGCTCTCTGGATGGTTTATGCAATAAAACCATAACAGTCATACGTAAATAAAACAGTTAAAAGATCAGTACAAATAATAAAGCAAAATAACATCCCTATTGCAGCAGGGGCACTCTTGTGTGAGCATAGCAAGCTGTTAGTATGCAAACAGGGTGGAACTAGGTTGGAACTAAAGTGCAACTGAAGAGAAGGAGAGTTTTTGTGTTCTTGATGAACAGTTCTTCTATGATTTGTGCCTAGAGCTCCAGACTCATGAGGTTACAAATCTGCACTATCGGGACCTGAGTCTCAGAAAAAAACTTCGGTTTCCTCGTGCTGAAGACTCAACCAATCCAACACAACTAGAGAATGACAGTAAGTGAAGCAAGATCTTGGGCCTTTGAGTCCTACAGGTGAACGATAAGGCTCCAGTGCTACAGTTCTCCTCTTTGCTTGTTTTTCCTCTTCCTGCCGAGCACAAATCAGTTGCAACCTGGTGCTTCTTCTCCTGTAGAGTTTTCTGTGAGGAAGAATTACCATCCAAAGCATCATAATAAACCAGATAAGTTTGGGTTGCTATTTTCCCTCCCCCCCCCCACAAAAAATTAGGGGCTGGCTGTAAGGACTGGAGCGCTTAATCTTTCATATGGATCCCCAAATCTATGGGAGGCCGTCTGCACCACTAGCCTGCTGCCTGTGGACACTTGAAATAAAAGTACAGGGGTCCTGGTCCACTCTTTGGCCTGGAACCTAACCTTCTGTAAACTGTTCTGAGAGCCGCTCGTAGGCTACTCAAAACAGTATAGAAACACCTTAAAATAAATAAACTTGGATTAACTGTTTTTTGCTCACAGGTACTTCACTTCCTGCTGCTCACCCACCCAAATCTCCTGTTTGAGGATTTTTCTGGAATCAAATGCTTTCCTCTCCCCTGTATGTACATGGAAGGGCAGGTCCTCTAAAGACAGACAGATGCACACAGAGAGAGCCAAACTCTAGACCCAAATTCTCCATCCTGGCACCCACTAGCTGTGCTAAATGACCATCTTGAGCATCTGCTTGCTGGTTGGAGGTGGTGGGAGGTCTAGTCTATCACAGGTGGTAGATGCTGCTTTCAATTACTTTAGTTGGGCTGGATTTGGAGATTACCTCCAGCAAATTTTCTTCCAATCACTCTCATGTTACTGGCTACATAACTTTCTGAAATAGGAGAGATCCGGTAAGGAAGGCTCAACTGACGTCCATAACTCTAAATAAGTTCCAGTTCCAGTCTTAAACAACTTTTGTCTTCTCTCCTGTTTCCATGCTGGAGCTCTTGGTGCACCTCAGAGTCCTGGCTTGCCCACATGAGGCTGAAGATTTAAAGGAGTGATTGGCCAAAATGCCTGTATTGGGCCAACCACCCTGCATTTGTCGGGGAGAGTTGTCCATTGCTACAAGGATGACTACTGATGCTTTGCTATTTTCCTGGAAGAGGGAACCAATTCTATAGTGGGGCTATTTTTTAAATCTCCTGTTTGAATGCATTAAAGAAAAAACATAGAGGCATCGCCTGCATGTTTGCTTGGAAGTAAGTCCCACGCTATTCAGTGAGACTTACTTTCATGTACATGTCGTGAATAGGACTTCCTGGAACAATGACAAACCTTGAATTGTCCAGTCATTCTTTCCCTTGCAGCATTTACTACCATGCCCGCCCTTGAAAAGGCTGGAAGGAGCTGGCCATACTTTGCTGGTTTTGTGCTTTCGGCCATTGGCATCTCCATCCTGATTGTACTGGTTGCCAAATGCAAACTGCTCCAGCGGAACCATGCCAGCTACCACCATCAGCGGCTGCCTGATTCCCACTCAGTCGGAAGTAGCCGCACGGAGGAAACTGACTCGGCTTATGAGAGGAACCAGCCCATCGATGGAGCAGCTGGGAGCCCAGCTGAGGATGATGATGGCTTCATTGAAGATAACTACATTGAGCCCAATCGAGACTTGAAAGAAGAGGAAGAAGAGGTAGAGGGGGAACTTGAGCCCCATTTCAGAGTCTGAGGCCTGTTAGAAACCAAAGACCAATGTTTTGCATGCTCTCGGCTACGTACTGCTGAGCCTTTCCACTCTATTTTCTAGGAACTTCCAGTGATCTCCCTGCTGCCAAGAAGGGGGACTCATTGCTCCCTCTGACTCCCTTCAGCCCCAGGCATTATGCTAGGCTCTGTAGTACAGTCACATCTGGGGGTTCCCCACTCCTGCTATACAGCTTTTTCTTCCTGTCATGTGATTCCAAAAGACCATCCTGCCAATTCTGATCTTTCCCAGGCTTCTCTGTTCTCTGAGCTGAAATATCCTCTCACTAACTTTCAGTTCAAGGCTGCCTCTTAACTTCCATGTAAGCATGCATAAGATTGCTAGCAAATTGACAGGCAGACCTAGTTTTAGCTATGAGCCCAAGCCACTGTGAAAGTGCAGTTTTAGGCATAATAGTTTGAAATGAATATAAAGCACCAACAAATGTTTTGTCGGTTAAACATGCAAGGCTGCTGGAAGAAAAAAATATTGGAAAGCCTGCCTTAGTTCAGAGGCTGTAAATTATTATTTGACAAGCAAAGCAGAAAAGCTTGCTCCCACCTGTAAACAATCTTCCAAGCAGGACTGCTAGTGTCCGGCCACTTTCACAGAATTATGTGGCCTTCTGGACCCACTTGTAATCTGCTGTATGTTACCGCCACTTCTATCCTTTTTCTTAGTGTGGAAGATTTGCTAAGGAAGAAAGGGCAGAATAACTGCCCAATGCTATTTGTATTATTACATGTATATTCCACTTTTCTCTCTCATGTAAGGAACCCAAGCCAGCTTACAAGAGTCTCCTCCTCCTCTATTATATTCTCACAAAAACAGCCTTGTGAGGTAGGCCAGGCTGAGAGTTCATAACTGGCCCAGAGTCATCCAGTAGAGACTAGAATCTCACTCCTAACCACTTCACTACAGAAATACCCAGCTGGAACTCTCCATACACTTCAGTCTGCATTATCCCCTCTGTCTTGTTTTATCCCCATTCTGCCTCTACCTTGTGTCTGGGTTTTGCTGTGGTTCCAATGTGTCTAGAGATAGATGGGAGCTGTTAGAGGATGATTGGTCAGAAAGGATGTTGCAGGTCATTCAGAGCATAAGTTGATGTCCACACATGGGAAGAAATTATGTTCTAAAAAAGAGGTGGTTTGAATGACATAGGGGCATCCTAGGGAGGGCCTCTTAGTGCATCCATTTCTTCTGTGCATAACCAAGGTTGATCGATACCCTCCCTTGGTGCTCAGGAGGGCAATGTGCAGCACCACAGGGTAACTCCCCTACTTGCAACTGCCTGATACCCTTCCAAAGGAATTGAGGCTAAAGGGCAGGGCGCTTGACATTCCTACAGCATGGGCATCCACGTGGGCATTTTTCCACCAGCTTGTGGTGGGAATTTATGCACTTAGTGCACACCACTAAACCACACGCAGGCACTTTCCTTGTGTCTGCACTTTGTTCCTTTGCATCACATTCCATGCCATTTAGAAGCCTACCCAGAGTGGGAGAAGAACCCGGAAATGGAACAGCTCAGGTTCAAAAGAGTGCTCTTATTCCAGAAACATCATGAACTTCAACACAACTTTATCTGGAGTGAGGAACACACTAGGAGAGGGGACCCTGCTATAAATCCACACCCTTATTTTTCAAGTGGCCCTCAAACTATTATTTCATTTTTCTTTATGTTTTCACTCTGTATTTTATTTTAAGTATCTGTATGCTACTATTCACAAAAATCTTTTCCCAGTAACTTGATGTGTGAGGCAGGAATTCTAAATAAATGTAACTCCTCTATTGCAGCAGTTCTGAGTTTAAGCATGTAGCCCTGGTGACATCTGTAACTAGCAGAGAACATATGTTTACATTTAGATACTGTATACGGGTAAGGCTTGATTGGTGTGGATAATGAATCCCATGAAGTGACTGCATTATTTGAATTAGCACTATTCAAAGTTATAATTCTATGTGAAGTTATAATTCTATGTAAAATATGGGAATTGGTTCTAGCTTGGTGGAAAGAGGCAATGAAATTTTTAAGCACAAGCCTTTATATGTTTGTTAATGAAATATTACAGCAAAGGATAGAAAGAATATACTTATAATTTAAAAATGTTGTTAACCAAGTTACAGAGTAGTTATAGAGAACATTGCTGTTATACACACTATTGAATTAGATGTTTTGTATAGTATATTTTTTTTCAAAGCCTGGCAAACTGTCCACTATAAATTGATATACAGTAGTTAAAATACAATTGCTTTAACAGCACCTTTCTCATCCATGCTACAAACTCTCAAAAGGATAAAACTGGCCTCACTTGTCTCTGCCTGAACCATTCTATTTTGCTGCCACTTCCTTATCTGTGATTCACAAGCTTCTCCACAACTGCACAAGCACAAAATGGCAGCAAATGAAGCCTTTTCCTATCCTAATTCTCTCAGGTCTATGAAAATAATGGAGTGGGAACTAGGGTAAACAAGGCACAGAGCTCAGAGAAAGGTAGAACAGCAGTGAAGAAGCAGGGTCTAAAACCCTAATGTAACCTGGTAACCTCAGCTATGCATGCACTGCATCAGCAGCATTTTGGTTTGCATTAAATGCACCCTGGTTACATTTTCCAATCTGCATTAATCATGAACTAGCCATACCTGAATGTTTCAATGGCATATGTAGCCACTAAACTACACAGCCAAATTCTAGAAGTATAACCTAGCAAAACTGTTTTCTTGTGTGCCAAAGCAAAAAGGCAGAGATAGTATGAGCACAGTTAGGTGCATCTGAAAGTTACAGTCCAGCATCAAGTTCATATTTAATATGTACCAGTAACTGGCATATGATAAAATAGGGACAATGGACAATATTTCCCACTGAGATCGTGCAAGTGTTCCAAAGAGTCCCGTGATCCTTGCCCTCCTCCTTGCTTGGAGGTTTCAGGATCCATGCACCGTTGCTAGATCAATTGCCAATAAGGGTGGGATCCCTTGCTTCAAGCCATTTGTCAGGGCCTCTTTCTCTTAATATAGAGCTATGCCTCTATTTTGCAGCTACACGCCAGAGAAAGGGAAAGGGAGGAGACGGATTAGCCAGGCTTCAGCTCAAATGCGGGAACAAACAAGGCCCCATGGAGGGCCTCTGTAGCAAAACATACAAGACTTATGAAAGGCAGACATGCACTGCAGTCATTTCCGTTCCCTGGAAATGTATAGAGGACATCCGAAGTGACAGTCTGCATGGTTTTCCTGTGAGACCGCCAGTTCCTGGCTGTAACTGGTACAGTCTTCAATATGCAGGGAAAGAGCGGTGGAAATACACCAGCATTAGTTTTGGAATGCAAATGCAGCAAAGATGGGTCTGGAGATGTCCTTTTTCTGCAAGATGATACATATGAAAAACTGTGAAGTGTTTTGTAAGTGGATCATTATACTAAAATCAACCGAACCAACTGGTAGAAAAGATCCCAACTGAATTGCTGAGTTCTACAATGCCTGGAGTTAGTGACTTACTTATTTATTTAGGAAATTTATAGGCCATCCATTACTGTCATCTCTGGATGGCTTACAATAATCTTATTGTATAATCTCATTTAATATGTACATAAACTGCCACAGTCATCCTCACTATTGTATTCCTAATCACTATGTGCAGGTGGGAAAGCTGGATGGTGAAAAAAGCCAATAGGAAGAAAATTGATGCATTCAAAACATGGCGCTGGCGTAGAGCTTTGTGAATACCCTGGGCTGGAAGGAGAGAAAAAAAAAAAGAACAAATGGTTCCTTGGAGCAAATCAACCCAGAACTTTCCTTGGAAGCAAACAAAATGAAACTGAGTCTGTTGTGCTTTAGAGACATTGTGAGAATGCACATCTCACTGGAGAAGGCAATAATGCTAGGGAAAATCAAAGGCAGAAGAAGAGGAGGACCAAATATGAAAAGGGTCAATAAAGGAAGCCACAACCTTGAATTTAGGAGAGCTGAGCAGGGCTGGCAAAGATAGGGCATTTTGGAGGGAGTTCATTCATGGGGCCATTCTAAGTTGGAGATCACTTGATGGCACATTACAAAAACGAATTGCCAGGAAATATCATTTCTTGTTTTGGGTGAGGCATTACTACTATGTTGAGAACACCCTGCTTTAAATTTCTGGGAGTTGCTCTCAGTCTTAACAAGTGTTTGAGGGCATTGCTCAGATAGATAATCAGGATGAAGCTGAATCTGGACAAATGAGAAGTCATGCTTGGAGGAGGAAGCATTGCCTGTGAATCAGAAGATTATGATTATTCCATCAGAATAAGTACAGAATTGGTGAGTGATGTTTTTCCCAGCCCTGCTTTTTAATAAGCAGGTAGTTCTGGTGGCCAGTCAGCATTTGTTGATTCCATTCTGCCCTGGATAGAGAAGATCCTGTAATACTGATCCACAGTTCGTAATCTTCTAGCTTAACTAACGTAACAAGGTTTATGTGGGGCATTCTTTGAAGATGCTTCAATTAATCCAGAATGCAGCTGCATATCTCATTAAGAATACTGAGAGGTATGGATGTATACAGCCTGTCTTATATTCAGTAACACCAATTCAAGGTGGCAGTGTTAATCCCAAAAACCATCCCATTCAAATCTTTCAGTATACCTGCTAGATAATGTAGCCCTCTTGCATGCTACAACTTCGCAAAAGCATGGGAACAGAAGTAACCAGAAATAAGGCTGTGAAATCATCCTTCCCAGAAATTAGCAGCTCTGTCTCCTCATGTTTTCACCCATTCTTTGGCACACACACATATAACAAGGGGTCTTGAAAAAGCTCCTGCACTTTTATATTTGATAAAGATATTTTACACATATTTTTGCTGGTGGCATTAAAAAGTTGGTACAACTCTGGGGAAAATGCATCACAAAGGAAGGTGACTATGTAGAAAAGTGATGTAATTCATTTTTGAAATTCTTAATAGGGTTTAAAAAATGTGGACAAGTTTTTGAAGAACCCTCATATATTTAAACATTATAGATAAGCTTGAACACTGGACTGAAAGCAAAAGAATGAGATTCAGTGGAGACACAAGTCCTCCACTTAGGAAAAAGAAACCAAGTGCATACTTGGCTCAACAGTGCTGCAAAAGAAAAAGACCTTGGTGTTATTGTGGACAACAATGCAATGTAGCCACAAAAAGGGCAAATGCTATTTCGGGATGTATTAATAGAAGTATCACTTCCAAATCACGAAAACAGCTAGTTCCCCTATCCTCCTCACTAGTCATACTTCATCTGGAATACCGTGTCCAATTCTGGGCACCAAGATTTAAGAAAGATGCAATAAAATTGGAAAGGGTTCAGAGGAGAGCAAAGGTGATCCAGGGTTTGGAAGCAAAGCCCTATGAGGAGAGACTAAGAAAACTGTTCAGCCTTGAGAAGGGAAAACTGAGGGGGGATATGATAGCACTGTACAAGAATCTGAAAGGCTGCCACTAAAAGGAGGGACAAGATCTCTTGTGGTTCATTCAAGAGTGTAGGACATGATGTAATGGACGCTTCAAGTTGTAGCAAACCAGATTCAACCCAGATATCAGGAAAAGCCTCCTAACTATCAGAGTGATATGACAGTGGAACCAGTTGCCTAGAGATGTTGTGGGCTCTTCCATACTAGAGACATTAAGAATGAAATTGAACAGTCATCTGACTGGATTGGTGTAACTTGGTGTCCTGCAACAGCAGGGAATTGGACCTGATGGCTTTCATGGCCCTTTCCAGCTTTACTATTCTATGAAAATGGATGTGTCCCTTTGTTCCACATTTTTGAAGGTATAATTTCCTTTGCCTCAAGTAGTTCAAAACTAAGTTTCAGACACGCGCACACATGCACTTGTGCAGGACAGGAACAGAGAGCAAGAGAAGAGCTATTTTACCTTTAAGGGCTATTTGAGACAAAAAAATCAACAGACACCACTTAATGCCAGCAGATACGGTATGGCCATGGTTATTCAACCTTTTAATGGCACAGGAAGCCATCCTAAATACTTAATATTCAGGTAAGTTATTGCCAGGCTATTGTTCTATCATATGAAATCTCTGCTTCAGCCTGGCACGTTACAGATAAGAAACATCCATTCTTTAAAGATCTGAGAGTCTACTTTATAAAGATAATCACTTTCGTTTTCGTTTACGCTTCCAACTTCCCAGAAGGCGGACTGAAGTCTAACAGCTGGAAAGTATTACTTCAAACTGCAAGGGGAAAAGGCAGGAAGCTGCCCCACCTCGAGTCATTGCTCTATCTATTCACTATCTTTGCATTGTAGTCTCTACACAGCATGGGGTTTTTCAGAACTCAGATTAACCTGGGATGAACTCGCAGACAAATTATGCTATGAACCTACGGTCCCGACAGGCCCACGCAAATTCAGGTAAGAACACTGAATTTCCAAAATTCTTAGCGCCTCTAATACGTATTAAAATAGAAAAATAATTTTGCATTACTGCAAAATAACAATACAAATGCAAACAATTCAACTGCAGACTGAGTATCAGCATTTAATTTCACTGTTATCATCTTCTGCCCCACTATCACCGATATAGTCCTACCCCTTTAGTTATATTGTTTTATTGCGTTTTAGCTCATGTGAGTCTCCCAGAAGTGCCGTGGCACAATTGGGCAGCATACAAATATTTTAATTAAATAAATATTGATTGCTTCCAAATCCCCCGCGCATGGAATATTCCAATGTGAAGGTGAAGCAAAGACTGCCTTCTTCCTTAAATAGCCCCAAGTTTCCTGCAATTGAAACCCTAGATCCATAACCCTTAAAGAATATAGACTGACTGACGCTGCCTTTGTCTTCACACATGACTTCCGGGTCCCTTTGACATCACCTTTTGAGAGTTGAACAGACATTCCAAGCAATGCAAAGAACGTTCATTTTTCTAGCTCTGCGATCCCCAAAATGCAGGAAAAGAGCTTCTGGAAATGACGTCACTATCTGAAGCGGCGAGACTGCTTGCGGGGCTGGGGGCCTGCTTCGAAGAGGTATCCGCAAGTGTGCGAACAGCCGGAGAGGGTGTCGGGGGGGGTGCGAGTGTGTGCCCGAGCTGCGGTGGCCGGCAAACGTTCCTAACAGGACCGACAAGGCCAGAAGGGAGCGTCGTTCTCTGACATGGCGCCCTCCAGATGTGTGCCATTACAACTCCTGTCATTCCCAGGCGGCATGAGCTGTGTTGGCTGGGGATGGTGGGAATTGCAGTTCAGCACGTCTGGAGGGCGCCTGGTTGCGGACGTTTGTTCTGTTTGCCTGGCCATGCTTCTGGGGTGCTTCAGAACAAGACATTTGGAGCACCCCCGTTTGGGAAAGGCTGATCTAGAGGGCGGAGGAGGAGGAGGAGAAGGACCGTGGCCTACGTGGCAACCCCTTGAAACTCTGGCGCTTTTTCTTTCTAGCTGTCGAGCCCGGAAAGCTTCGGCCAGCTCTTCTCCCCTGCCGCTGACGTGCCTCAGGATTTCCGTGTTTCTTTAAGGGCTGAGGATCGCTTCTCATTTCTTGAACCGGGGCCAGATTAGACGTGACGCTTTCTCATGGCACATTATTGATTTTTCTTTAGTTAAAGGTCGGTGCGAGGAGGGAGGCCGATTCGGATCAATACCGCGATGGGGACGCTTTGTTCCACTTTGCCCCCAATCCGACTCGTCCCCTCCCCACGTCTGCTTGTTCTTCCCAAAGTTCCCATTGGGAACTTGTGTTGTTTCATTCTGCTCTTGGAGTTTCCTCTATGCAAGAATTACAGATATCTCCGATTGAAAATCACAGTGCTGGGAGGGGCTAGGGTGACTTTAGGGCAAGTAACTTGGCCCTCTCGCCCCATCTGTACTACTTCTCCATTGCTGAACATTTGTGAATACTTGAAACAAAGTTTTCTGTCATCCTAACTCAGTGTATATAAAAATCAAGTCTCACTGCTGTCTAATGGAGGCAGAACAAAGGAGGGGAGGAGAATTTTGAAGCTGAAAATAGCAGATTGACTGTCTTCCAAGCCATTGATATGTCTTTTCCTAGTTGGTTGGGCAAGCAAATGTGCAGGTGTGCCAGTTTTCAGGCATAGAGCCCTTGTGGCTTTTGGCAGATAACTGATAAGCAGAACTTCAGCATGTTAAATGTTTCTAACTCTTCATCTCCATGCCAGCAAAACTGCATCAAATGAATATTTGCTGGCCACATTGCTCCTAAAGGCAATCCAGTGCCTAAAAGCAATGGGGGGAGAAGAGGTGACAAGCATGGATACTTAAGGCACATGAGACACACCTTTCATTATTATCCAGTGATCTTCCATTATTATTTACTGCTAAGTAAACACATCTGCTAGGACCTGGAAATTATAGCTGAATGATGGATTGGAAATTAAAATACCTAAGGCAGTTTGCTTGAGAGGCAACTCCATCAAGATCAATAGGAAGGACTTCAGAGAATATACTCATAGACTTGGGAGTAGTACAGTGAAATAATCTATTTCTCTTTTTAAAAAACTGCCCTTTTAAAAAAGTTCCCCTGCAATATACAGTATTTGCCCATTTTGCCACTCCCTGCAATATTTTTTTCCTGCTGCTATTGTAATCCTCATGTGGTTTTCATGTTTTTTTCTGCGCTTAAATGTAGAAAAAACTGCTTTGGTGTAGGCAGTGACTAATATAAGAGAAAACCATCCTTTGCCTACTTACATTTGGCCAAATGTTGTTATCTCCCATCTCTTCCTCTGTTCCCATGTGCTACAATACTAATGTTGGTAATTTATTCCCAGCTCCTTTGTGGGGCAGCTCCTGGTTCCCTAATCACAGTTCCTTATTTTCATTACTGAGTTACACCTGTATGGACAAGAGCTTTACCTCCTTTCCAGGTTCTGGAAGCTAGTAGGTTTGGACCTAGTGAGATCTAATGGCAAAATTCTTGCTTCTCTTCTCAGGGTGGATTTCTTGGTGTGGAACCCTGCTGACTCTCTTCTGTTTGTACCCCTGCTGGATAGGAACATGGCAACTCAGAGCTCCACATCACTGCAAGATTTGATCCGGGAAGATTTTCTGACCTGCAAAATCTGCTATGACTTGTATGCGGTGCCCAAAATCCTACCATGTCTGCATACCTATTGCCTTGGATGCCTGGAGCCCCTGGTGGAGAATGGAGCCTTGCAGTGTCCTGAGTGCCGCCTGCAGATAGAAGTCCCAGAAGGTGCTGCTGGCCTGAAGACCAACTTCTTCATCAATGGTCTCTTGGAGCTGTTCCAGATGAAGCACAAGAAGGACCTTGAGTGTACAGTCTGTTCTAATGTGCAGAAAGTTGTAGCTGCCACCTCGCGTTGCCTGGATTGCAAGGATTTCTTGTGCCAGATGTGTACTCAGGGCCACTGCTGCTCCCGCCTCACTCTGCATCATAAGGTAGTGAACCTGGAAGAGTTCCTGGCTGGGCATTATGATGCTGAGGTGAGGTTCTTACAGGAGTTGTGTTGCCAGAGTCATCCGCAAGAGGCGCTCCGCTTTTTCTGTGACACCTGCAGTGTGCCCATCTGCAGAGACTGCCGCATGCTGGACCATTTTCAGCACAAAGTGGTCTCCATGGCCAGTGCGGTGCAGCGGGAAAGGCCCTCTGTGGAGCAGCTGATCAAGAGCCTGCAGAGAATAATTACTGGCATCTCTGAACAAGAGAAAGCTATGGAAGAGGCGATGGACAAACTGAAAGCAGACGGAGAGCATGTCAAGGAGAAGATCTGCAGATACGTGGAAGAGATTACAACTTACATTTTTGCCCAGAAGGAATCTGCTTTGGCTAAACTGCATGTCTCCCTAACTGAACAGTTGGAAGGATTTCGCATAGCACGAAAGGAGCTGCAGATTCAGAAGGATAAAGCGATGAGCACTCAGCAGTTTTCTCAGCACATCCTTGGTGTAGGGAAGGACTATGAGATTCTTTATCTAGAAGGAATGATTAGGAATAGGGTGGAGGAGCTTCAGGCGTACAAACTGCAGCAGTTTCCCAGCCCCATCCCAGAGCTGGTCATTGCCTGGGATAATTCTCAGCAACTCTCTGAAGCACCACTTTTCCGTTTTGTGTTTCCTGGGCAGCAGCCAGAAAGAGATGCGCAGTGCTTGGAGCCAGAGAGCCAAGTGCTCTCTTCTGTTGGAGAGGAGAGTGGCGAGGCTACTGACACACTTTCAGATGCAGACTCCTGTGCAACTGTGTCTGACTCGTCCGCATCCACTGGCTGGAGAATACAAGCTGAGTATGCTTTTAGCTTTGGATTGGATCCATCCTGCTCCAGGAAAAAACCCAATATCACTGGGATTGCTGTGGTACCCCACACCGGCCAAGTCCTCCTTTTGGATCAGGCAAATGATGAGATCAAGCAGTATAGCCCTGGTGGTGAGTTCCAGGGAATTCTTCTTCTGCCCGATCCTGATTCTGATTCTCTCTTCTGTGGTATTTCTGTTTGTGGTGAGATCCTGGCCTGTTCCTCAGAGACTCATCTTTATTTTTTGACCCTGGATGGTGCATTCTTGCGTAAATTGCAGATGAGAGGCTCCGAGACCTCCTATGCCCTCGCCTCCTATCGGGACTCTTATGTGGCTGTGAGCGAGGGAACTCTGTGTTCTATCTCTTTGTACAATCCATCTGGATTGTGTGTTGGCAGAGTCCAGCCAGAGAGCTATCATGGGGGCAAATTCCTGTTCATTGCTGTTAATAACTTGGAAGAGTTTGTCGTCTCAGATTTCATCAAAAAGCAGATTGTGATCATGGAGAAATCTGGGGCAGTTCTGAAGGTGCTGAAACCGACATCTTCACTGCTGACAAGGCCATTCAGCGTCTGCGTTGATGAAGACAGGAACATCTTTGTGGTAGATCAGTTCAAAGTGATTCAGTTCTCATCAGATGATGAGACTGGGAGGGTGGTGCTGAATGACCAGGGTCAGGTGAGAAGACCCAGAGTCTTGGCCATTGATAATGGCAATCTCATTTTAGTGAGAGAAGATGGAAGTACTGATCTCTATTGCCTATAGTTTGCTGTTTCTTGATGGGGTATGAATCAAGTGCCTAATTATACCAGTGCTGAGCCCTCTGGCTGGCAAGATGTCAGAAGGGCCCCACACTGTTACATTCGCTAGACACTGGGATGGATGTCCGAACCAAGGCTGCTGGACAGGATCAGACTTTGGATCAGAAATACTGCTGCAGTCAAATGCAATTTGCATCGCTGAAGGCTTCCTGCTGCACTTGACTTGCAGTGCCTGTCTTGGAAATAATGACGATAGAGAAAGATTGTCAGTGGCCTTTAAACTATACTTTGTATTCACACACAGCAGTTTGATCTTGACTTTGCCCAGACTACCAGAATCTGCTGCTCAGATCTGTTTGCCAGACAAAGGACCTGCCTTGCTTTTGGAACCAGCATTCTTGTCTTCTCTGAAATGGGTAGCAGTGGCAGATGTTGTGGGAGCAGAACTGGGTTTGCTGTTTGTTCAGTGAGCTATAGACTACTTGTTCCTTTTCCAGCTGAATGTGTAGATTCCAACCATCAGGGCTGGTGCTGAGAATCTTGGTCCAGCCTTTCTATTTATAGAGACTAAGTAGGCTTATTACATTCCATTTCTTGCTGCTGCTGCTATGTAGCAAAGACAGTTGTGTCTTGCTGTTGCTTGATTAGTTTGGGGGATGTGATGGAGCATCTTGCTTAATTTGAATTAGGCCTGGTGGTGAGGGCATGTGTACAAAATGCATTGTGTGTGGTTTTTGGAAATTAGGATGGGCATTTTCACATGCATACATTTCACCACAGAGCAGATGCTTTTGCGTAGTTTCTGGGTACCCATGCCATTGTAATTTAAAAAAGTACTTATCCTCTCTCTATCAAGTGTGTCACCTTTATAGATGACTGTGCAGCAAGTTGTTGAACTGATGTCAGGTGCAGTATATTCCAGGGTTGACAGTAAAAGATAAAAGGATCAGTTCTGGGATCCTTATATAACATACATTTTTTTCTATTAGGCTCATAGCTTAAGACACATGTTTTAATATGCATACCCAATCAGTGCAGAGAAATATGACGGTGAATAGCCATGATTAGCTGCTGTCCAGTCTTTCTGCAGTGTATTTCAGTGAAAAGTAACCATTCATTATCCTCTGGCTTCTACTTCTGTGCTGAAGGATGGACTTGTAACTTTTCTTAAGGACACACTTGAAAATGTGAGTCTCAAGATTGCTTTCTGCTGCTGCTGCTGCAGGTATCAGAAGAGGCCCTCCGTGCTATGTCCTGCACTCAAGGGCCGGATGCTGCCTGCTAGCTTTTCTCTGTGCTTTTCATCAGATTAGGATATATGTTTTTCCAAGACTTCTGTGCCTCATAAAGTTGACTGGCTTTGCATTGTCTGGAAAAGAGGGCAGAAACCTAAAGAATTAGTCATCATATGGCTTGTGCAAGTCCCATTCCTGCTAGTTATCCCCCTGTTCCACGATGAGGATTTTTCCTACCTATGACAAGTCCTGCACCTAAGCTGGGACACTGAGAATTCCTAGGGCAGGGATGGGTCACATTTTACAGTACTCAAAATGGCTGCTGCCAGCAAGTTTAGACTCTTGCCTTTGTATTTTGATTCCTTGGGACCACCCTTCTCCAACCTAGCAAACTTCATGGGAACTGTAGTTCAATATATCTGGAAGCTACCAGGTTGTGGGAGTCCATGTTATGCTTTGATTTCTGCCTCTCCTTTTCTCCTCTTGTGTTTTTCCCCTTTTCCTTCTATCAGATCCATACTGCTGCAGATAACAAAAAGGAGTGAGGTAGCATTTTGCTGAACGCCTTCATACCTCATGAGTACTCACAGTCAAGGGTGCCCACTCTTGCATTGTTTTATTGCACTACTTGCTCTTACAGTCTTAAGAAAAAGTCAACATGTTTCCAGTATATGCTTTTGATACTAATAAAGTGAAATTAATGGCTACTTTATGGTATTTCTACTCATCTCAAACTATGTCAGCAGCAATATTTTCAATACAGAGGTTTTTTTTAACCAGATGGGGATAAGTAAATAGTATTGCCTTGGCAGCCTATGCCTGTTGATACCCCTTGAACTATGGGTGTTGGTGAGGGCCTCACAGTGCAGTTTGAGAAGAAGATGCTTTTCTGTATCATGAACGCAGAGTGTTGTTTCTTTGGGGGCTGCATATCTAGAAGGCAGGAGATAGAAAAATGAAAGATTTTATGCTACTTGTTACAATCCCTTTTCTGCATCTTACTTATGTATATCCTGCCTTTCCTCCATACAGGGTCCTCTAATGGGCTGCCATCCAGGCACCCACAAGCTCCAGACAAACTTAGCTTTAGAGAAGTTGCTCTATTACGTGCCACATAACTGGCAGTGGTATCCAGATTTACAGGGAAAGAGCTTTGGAGTTGCCTGCAGCCAAATCTACAATGTTCTTCTCAGATACTGAGCATGCAGAACCACTTTTAGCCTTAGGACTTAGTTCCATTTCAGAGCTTTCAGGGTCCACATTCCAGTGGTGGGTAGGATCCAGGACTAACTGGGTGAAGATGAAGCCAGCATTCTCTGGATGCTTGCTTCTTGTTGCATGCAATTCTGGCATGAAAAAGAAATGTAACTTTGGCTTCCAATATGGCTCTGAAGCCTTAGCCTTTCAGAGAGAGGAGCATTTGCCTCAAGGCTGAATAGTCCTTCTCCAGGCTTGGGAACATTAATTGGACGGTACTTGCAGTGAGGTGACAAATGGGAGTCATGGAAACAGACAGTTTGTGTTGTGGGGAGCAGTGGCAAACCTGTCGACATGTCCTCTGCTAACTCAGGTGAATGTGGCTGTGGTAGGCCCTGGAGTTGAAGAATAGCTACACTTCTGGCTCAATCTGATGGCCTTCCGGCTTCATCTGAGGGGCAACACAATTATTTGGAGACCCAGCTGTGAAGTCCTGCAACCTCTGAGCAAACTGTGTTCCTATCCTACCCATTGCTTGCAGCTGGTGCAGAAAAAAACCACTTCAGTGGCTTCTGAAGTGGCCTAGGAAACAAAGGGTGCTGGGAAAGGGTGGATGCTGGGCCTAACTACTTACACCACCTCCAAACAGCATTTCAGCTTCCTTCCCTCCCCGTTCAGGCCATTTCATTTAGATGTCCCTAAACAGCTCTCTTGATTAAATGTAGGATGTGAGATGCTGATGGCTGCCAAGATGGCTGCAGTACCTTGCCCTTTGGATGCATGTAAGCCTCCAAGTTCAGAAGTGTCCATGCATCAAGGGAATAGGCAATAGAACTGCAGCCTTAAGGTTATTGGTCTAGGTCTTGAACCAGTTTGGTGAGTAGCTTGCTACACCCCAAACTCCTAGCAGGTGAAGCAACAAGCCATTACAATTCTTCTATTTTATTTCACATTGTTTTTCAGTGCAGACAGTGAATCAAAATAAGATTTAAAAGGGTAGTATGCTGGTCCAATCAGTGTCACTGATCAGAGGAAGGTTTCCTGCTGCCCCTGTACTACAATCAGGAAGGGGGCTCTGGGGATGACGTCTTCCATAAGCAACTCCTACTGGGTTTTCACAGGTCTGCCTTCCCTGTGTCTACTGTGAAAAACATTCACAGATCTTACATTTGGAATGGAAATGAGAAATGTATGGATTTGTGCATAATTTGCATTATTTAATCAGTGGGCAATTCAGAGGTTATTTAAGGAGCAATTCTATGCATGTTTAGAAAAAAAAAACCCTATCCCCAGCTATCATGGCCTGCTGGGGCACGCTGGGAGTTGTGGTTCTTTGTCAAAACATGTATAGGTTTGGACTTTATGGAAATTGAGATCTGCACACTCAGGAATGCACAAATGCAGATTATGTTTGCTGTAAGGACAAAAGGTGAAGATGTAGCCTGAGCCTTACCATTGTATGATAATGAGAGGCCCTTTCATGCCTCTCTTCCTATTGTAAACCTTTCACTAGCTACAGGCCTCCTCTTTTAACTATTTCAGCAGCAGCAAACACAGTCTCCTGTTGTAGTGTAGTGTAGTCTTGTATAGTGTTAAGCCCGAGACAGAAGCAGTTGATTCTGGACTCCATGAAGAAGAGCCTAAACTTCACCTTAAGATACAAATTAGGCCAAGCTAAATCACAGAGGTAGTTATGCTGGGCGGGGCAAATCAGGAGTCACTGCAGTGGTTGGGTTGTGTCCAATATTTGCCCTGTGTAGACTAGACTCATTGAAATGAATGGGACGGAAGTTAGACACAATGCATTGACATAGGTTAAGTAGCACCCATTAATTTTGGTTGCAGAAGGAGCCTCAACATTTGGGGGGCAGTGGGCACATTTTGAGGTTGGACCATGGGGACTTGCACAAGCAGCTGACTGGCCACAAAACAACACGCCAGTCTCCTGTTGTTTAAAAATGCACATTTTTGCAATAACAATATTTTTAAAAGAAGGGGCAGGGAGTGGTGGGCACCCAGGCATAGCAGGCAATAGGTAGACATGGCAAAGCCACTAGGCTCCATGGAAGCAACAAATACACAAACTCACACTGTGTTCAGGTCTTGAGAAACCCTGCCATAATACCCACAGTAACAATGCCTGTAACATAGAGGCCTCCTCAGTAGTACAGTTAAGCAAACTAGATGTTTCTCCCCTTCTGCCTGCGAAGTAGGTCCCCTTGTACCAACTCTGTTTGTCATTAATACATACGTGTGTTTTGATGCTTCTCCTGGTTGCAGGCACCCATGCTTCTGCTGTAAAAGTTGGATAATCTGGATTCTAATTACAAGAAGCTATGAGCTGCCAGATCAGAAAATATTACTGCCCACCCATCCTCTTATCAAATGCCATTGGTGGGTGACAATAGTGTGAGCTTGGACCTTCTAGCCTGGAAGATAAAATACTTCGAAAACACATTCCAGGTAGCTTGGCTTTCCCTATGTACATGGACCAATCAAAACAAATGACGCACATTCTGTGATTCTGACGATCACATCACACAAACAGAGAAACTCAGACACCAGCTTCATTTTTTGCAGAAGCAAGCTTCTATCCCTTTTGACTGGAAAGAGTGATGGTAACAAGTAGGGGCAACACAGTGATATCTCAGCTGTCAAATGTGGGACTGAGCTGGATTTTCAGTGAAACTACTCAGCACCCATCCAAATTCAACATTCCTTCCCAAGCTGCTGCCCTCCAGATATTTTAAGGTACAGTTTGCAGAATTCCTTGATCATTGGCCATGTTGGCTGAGGCTGACAGAAGCTGATATGCAAAACAACTGGAGGGTACCAGGCAGGGAAAGACAACTCCAGTCTTTTAAGGTGCCATTGTTGCCCAGAAACCCTTTCTTTCAAATAATGCCTCTTTTTCTTTCCAACCACACTTTACTCTCCCAGTGCTCAGTAGTGCCACTGTGGTCTCTTCGACCAACAATCCCAGGCTGTCGTTGCGACAGCACCACAGCCGGGCAGCTGAGGTCCGATCGCATTGCTGAGTTTAGCTCAGAGGCCAGTCCACATGAGGTAAAGTGCAAATGCTCATTCAGTGTCCAGGGGACAACCACGTGGTGAAAGGCTGCAGCCACCAGCCATGAGCTTGAGGGTTAAATGAGATTCGCCATGCTGGAGGTAGGAGGGAGCTGCTGGCTGGCTGGGAGGCGTCCCGATATGGTGAAAAGGCTGGTGTTGGGGCCAGCATCATGAGTCTGAGGCGCAGCTGGACAGCAGGAAGTCCACATCAAATACCCAAGCAGGCTGAGCAAGAGGATGGCCCCAGAGGCCGTGAGCACAATGCCGCTGAGGAACATGCTGGCCAGTGGGCGTGGAGTCGTCGGGCTAGTGCTAATGCTGGTGGTGGAGAGTGCCGTGAGGACCGTGCCGCACACCAGCAGCACCAGGGCTGTCAGCAGCAGCACGGCACAGTCCGAGGCCCCGCCGCTCTTCAGCAGCTCCACGTGCTCCCGGCTGCGAATGCAATTCATGTCCTGGATGGCGGAGCTCAGCAGCTGCTTCAGCAGTACCAGCAGTGCCAGCAGGCAGAGTGTGGTGCCCACAGCCAGCCTCCACTCCCCGGAGCGGCTGCTGGTGCTGTAGAGTAGAGCGATGCCCCCAACCCCACAGGCCAGGATCAGGGCCACAGCCACCCCGTAGCAAACCAAGGACTTTCTGGGTTCCTGGAACCACCACAGCTCCACATGTTCCTCCAGGATATTCCTCTGGATCTGGTTGGCATTTGCAGGGGGTCTTGGGACACTCAGCTGTTCTAATTCAGGCATGGTGGACACCGGAGTGGCTTATGTGCAAAGAGGAGAATGAAGATGCTTCAGCTGACAGTTAGGGTCACAGTAAACCTAATGGGTGGGACATTTCCTTCAAGGACGGGATCATCACCCATCAGCTCCCATGAGAGTAGCCAATTCCAGAGTCAGTAAGATTAGTCTGCTCATTGGTTAGTCCACTCTGTTGGAAGCTCTTTGAGCACATGAGAGTTAGAATGTGGACCTTGTGCCAGTATCTTCTAGCTCTCTGAATTCCAAGCTCACCAGATCCCTGACCTTGATCTGTAAAGAAAACAACAACAGGTTATGGGATGCAGATTACTTCTGAGAATAGAAGACAATCCTTTTACCCATCAAAGCTTTTCTCTTGAGGTCAGGTCCCTGTAAGGGAGAACACTACTCCCAGCGTGGTCAGCTAATGTCCATTCAAGTAAAACCTGCTTTTTATGGGCAGGGCTGGGAAAGATAAATCAACATTCTGTGCTGTGGCAAACTTACTTCTGTGCCAAGAAAAGCAGGACTCCACTTTCATCAGAAAACTATAATTAAAAGCATGAATTGTTTTTCAGAAAGATTTGCACGTATTTCCTGTGTTTGAACAATTCTACTTTCGCTAGTAATGGAGATGCCAGCAAATTATGCAGCAAATGCTCATCTCTACCTTCTGCCCCACCCCCTAGCTGGTTTTCAGCTTCACCAAGCATTGTCAACACATTTTCAGGGCAACACTGTCTTTGCTGTGCTTAGAGTTATTTAAAAAAGAAAAACAGAAGCTGGATTCAGGATGTGGAATCCTGCTCTCTGTATTAAATTCTTACTTGACATATGGCAAGCCCCTATCAGGAGAGAACCTCTCCCTACCTAGTTCCCTCCAGCTGTGTGTGAACTACAGCTCCCATTATCTCCAGCCAATGAGATGGGGAGGGCTGTATTAAACGTAGTGTTGCTTATGGGGCCAGAGTCAGAGATGGAGAGAGAGATCATGAGGCAGGAGGGAAGAACTTCAGGCCCAGGGCTCACCTCTAACCCAGATGGCCAGCCCTGCCCCCAGCCACCTATCCTTCGGTGTCTTCCCAGCATTTGTACAGTTTTTCTCCCACTCTGAAAGGTTTAAAGCTTGTACTGGTTACTGGCAGTACAAGCTTTAAGCTAAAACATGCAGATAATTTTGGTTCCATTCCTTTTATTTTCAGTGACACCATCACTGGACTGCAGCACCCAAAACAGAACTCAGCCTTTGGGCTGAAAGAGGTTCAACAGTCTTGCTAAACACAATAGCCAAATAATGTGGCTGATTCCCACATTTTTATCTAGGGAATCAACCACATCATTTTGGGCAGTGAAACTTGGCATAAAGCAAGCAAGATGGTAAAAGGTTAAGTAGCCCCTCTTCTCTTGAAATTCCTTCTAGTAAAGCTTAAAGTCTATGGACATGGTTGTAGTGATAAGGAGCAGGAACAAATCCAGGGGGTTCTTGTCTGTGCTCCCACCCTTGAGCACGAACCCTTGGCAAGTACCAGACCCTACCTACCTTTGATTCCAGCCCTGCTGGGAAGTCCTTTTATTTCAGTTTGATACTTGAATTATTTGACACTTGAATTATTTCCAAATGTCTAGTTTTAGCAACTGTACCACTCATCATGAAAGATGGTTTTTTCACCTTCCTATATTTTTTCCTCCAGGCAAGCCATTATTCTGTCGCATTTCACAGCACAGGAACATGCTTGAGAGCATGGGGTGCCTTAAGGTAATCAAAGTAAGAAGTCACAGCCATGGTCACTGGGGGGAAGGCAGGCAGGCAGGCTAAAAATCTCAAGGCCAGAAGAGTTAGCTCTGAAGGCTGGGCAGATTTTTAGGGTGGAGAAGCAGAAAAGAAGTGGACAGGGATGAAAAGAAGAAATGGATTTCATATATCTACAACTTTGCCTGCATGTCATCAGGTCATTGTCTGACAAGAATGTAGAACAATGTGGCAACATTTACAGATGGTACAAAATTGCTTGAAATTAATTCATTTCCAAAATTTTATACAGCTTTTTACTCATCATTGTTCTTAAAACAGTTCTCCATATCCACTGAAACAAATCAGAGCTATGCTTGTTGATCAAAACAGTGGGGAGAAAGAACATAACAGAATAAAAAACTGCCAGATGAAATAAAACCAAAACGACACCAAGAAAATGAGCGGTTGCCATGTACCAAACACAATTATGAAACATTGCAGCAGAAGAACAGACAGGTGGATTGTAGACAAAGGCAGTGCTGCTTATGTGCTTTGTTCTATGTATTTGCCTTAGGAAAGTCAAATAGAATAGTTCCAGTACAAATACAGTAGAAATAAAAATGTGCATATACAAATAAGTCTTTGTTTTGTAATTCTATCCACTTAATCAATCTTAGAATGATATAACAGACATGGAGATTGTTCAGAGGAAAAAAGTAGTCTAGGTAAGCAGAAATACAAAGTGTCTTCCATATGAGAACAGCCTAAAAAGCTAGGACTTCAGCAAACAAAGGAGATAAAGATGCAGGGAGGTAGACTTGAGTATCCATCTACAAATATCAAGAGTGGCTTTGAAAACATAAAAGAAATGCATGGGGCTTTTTAAAAGCAATTTTAGAGCTGATGATCATTAGAGCAGATAAAATTAAAGCACAAGATCTATTTTCTTACAAATCACTTGCTAAATGCATGGAAAATAGCAATATCCGGGGCCATTTCCTTCAGTCTCTTAACTAAATAATAGAATACCAGAAGCTAGTAGTGATCAGAGAAGCATGAATGCCCTTTGCCACTACACGCTTTCTCAAATACTGACTAAAGGACTGCATGGGTTAAGAGCAGTAAAGCTACACGAAAGCCTTGCAATATAGCCTCTTCTCGAGCAAAGGCCCTGCTTTGAAATCACTGCCACTTATGGTCCTTCTCATGACATCTGACTTTTAATAGGCTGGGCCAGTGGGCCCTTAGATGCCACCCCCCCCTCCAGGAATTCAAAGAGCCTCCACTCACTGGTGCTGCAGTCCTGGATATCCTCTCAGCAAGCTGGCCACCCTGGGTTTTGGTGCAAAAGTGCCTGCCTTGTGCACCCAGGAGTAGCCCTAGGAAGCCTGGAACAAATCAGCCGAGCATCCCGCAGCTCCGCAGTGCTTGCTTCTCTTGCTGGCAGTAAGGGCAGTGACAGAGGCAGAGATTCCACCCAGGAATAAAGCCCCATTCACCGGACCAGCCTCACATGGTTCCTCATCAGCATCTGCCTCTTGTCACCAACTGGCTCTCCAGCTTGTTGGACAATAGAGGCTTACATCAAGGCTGCCTTAACTCTTGAGATACAGTCTTTGTAAGGGAGGAATCGAGACCTGGATTGGGTGCTTGGTCTTCCTGCACAATTCCTGCTGGGTTTCTTCTTTGTTACTGTTCAGGATACACTCAGAGTTATCTAGTCCAGCTTGGATTAGGTTGCAAACCTTGGCAACCTGTAACTGCACATTTCTTCCTATTCTGCTCACCCCGCCACCCTTTGCACCTCTAACGTCTCCTCATAGATATAGTGTCCCCTTTTAAAAGTAGGAAGTATGAGTGATAAGGATACCAAATAGGAAGACTAAATAGAAATGCTAATGCTGGTAACACTTGGTTATGCAATCAAATCTCTTCTTGGATAATTTTGGAATATTTCTACAATTATAGGCCTCAGAGGAACACTGAAGTGACAGCAAGGGTGCTTTCAGGGAGATGACTGCTAGCACAATCAAAAGGAATTAGAAAGCATTTATCTTTTCCTGTTTAACAGACTTGTTGTAAAAAGAAAAAAGGCTGAAGAAGAGTTGGGAAGATTTATGGGGGTAACAAATGGAAGACAGACCATTTAGCAGAACAAAGAGTTCTGCTAAAACTCTGTGAATGGAGCACAATAAAAGACTCAGCTGGAAGCAGCTTAAGAGACCTAGAATTGAAACTATTTTTCTGGATAAATGGTCACTCACCCTGCAAGTGCCGGCAGGACCTGGTGCACACCTGTAGGTACTTGCAAGGATCGGAGCCCATGCAATCATGTGGCATAGCTGGGAGCCCTGGGAGGCACTCTACAAAGCTTCCCTGCTCTGCCCAGTTTGGCCACAGTGAACACATGGCCTTTATGGTGGCTGTGCCTGAGTCTTGCTTTGATTTGACTCCTGCTGGCTTCTGACTCTGCTCTTGTCTGTGGCCTGATCCTGCCTTGTCATATACCTGATCCTTGCTTTTTCACTAGTCCTTCTACACCCTGCTAGATACCTTATCCATGCCTGCTTCTGACCTTGCTTTTCCCTCTGGTTCTGTTAGTATCTGACCCTTGTCTGTTCCTGATTATGCCTGTGCTTCTGAACTGGCCTGTTGATTTCTCACCTTGCTTATTTCTGAATCTGCCTTTGCCTTTGGACCTGCCATGACTTGCTGGCTATCTAGCCCTCACTTGTTCCTGACTTCATTTTTGTCTCTGGCCCTACTGCATCCATGTCAAGAACTCTATCACCCCTAGACCTGGTGTTCTAGCCATAGAGATCTGCTGCCTACATTCCAGACCTAACAAGGATTTCCAGACAAGGCTTCATTCAGGCACTATTACAGGTGGGTTCAAATGACATCATCTGCTACTGGTAGCCTTCCCATGCTTTCCCACTGCTGTTTCCATCTTTTTCCATACTGCAGAAAATCCATGGGCAGGGGGCAGATGGAAATGCTGTACAAATGCCACACACACACTCGAAAGAATCCAGAAATGAAGCCTACAGTATAATTTACAGCTGTTCTAAACAAGCCTTTTCATTTGTACTTGCATCAGTTTTAAAGCTTCTCAAGTTACCTTTTAACTTGAAAACAACTTCCCTTCTCAGAAAAGGTAATGTATGAAATGTCTCCTATCTGTGTTGCATTCCAGTGATACCTAAGCACCACAAGGGTAGGCTGAAGTTTTGTATTTCAAGTATTGACCTTAACAATAATCAAAAAATCTGAG